CCTGGATCACCTCTGACATCAAGAAGCTCCTGAACCAGAAGAAAGCTGCCTTCAGGGAGCATGACAGGGAGAAGCGCAAGCAGGTGCAACAGGAGCTAAAGAGGAGCCTGAAGCAGGCCAAGCTGGTTTATAAGAAGAAGGTGGAGAAGAAGCTGCAGCATAATGACACCAGAGAGGTGTGGAGGGGAATGAGGAACATCACCGGCTACAAACAGAAGAACTGCCAGGCCACAGTGGGTGATGTTGACAAGGCCAATGAGTTCAAGCAGTTCTACAACAGGTTCGACACAGCGGCCTCACCACCACCCCCCTCCACCTCTCCAGTGGCAGTCTCCTCCCCTACACTACCTTCTCCTCACTACTGCAGCCCCGACACCGCAGCGGCAACTCCTCTTCCTCCTGGCTCCCCACCCTTCCTCTCTGTAGATGAAGTGAGGATGGAGCTAAGGAGGCTGCGACCAGGAAAGGCGGCTGGCACAGATGATGTTTGTCTGACGCTGCTCAAGGTCTGTGCGGACCAACTGGCCGAGCCCCTCCAGCGGCTGTTCAACCTGAGCCTACAGGCAGGGAGGGTCCGGTCCTGTGGAAAACATCATGTCTTGTGCCGGTACACAACGTTTGGCACCCGGCCGAGCTCAACAACTACAGACCGGTGGCCCTCATGTCACACATCATGAAGACCCTGGAGAGGCTGCTCCTCCGTCACCTGAGACCACAGACTGAACGTGCGGAGTAGACGACGCTGTCCTCTACTTGTTACATCGGGCCCACTCCTACTTAGACAAGCCGGGGAGTCAAGTGAGGATTATGTTCTTTGACTTTTCGAACGCTTTTAATACCATCCAGCCTCTGCTGCTTAGAGAGAAGCTCAGACAAATGGGAGTTGAGCCTGCCCTCTCATCCTGGATCACACACTACCTGACGGGACGACCACAGTTCGTCAGGTTGGGGAGCTGCGTTACTGGGACGGTGGAGAGCAGCACTGGTGCTCCTGCAGGGGACTGTGCTGGCTCCATACCTGTTCACCTTGTACACATCAGACTTCAATTACAACTCATAGTCTTGCCACATCCAGAAGTATTCGGATGATACGGCTATTGTGGCGTGTGTGAGGAAGGGACAGGAGGCGGAGTACAGGGATCTTGTGGGAGCCTTCAGCAGCTGGTGTGAGAGGAACGGCCTTCTCCTGAACAGGAAGACCAAGTAGATGGTCATCGACTTCTGCAGGTCTAAACCACCTCTGCAGCCAGTCAACATCAGGGGCGAGGACATCGAGGTGGTACAGTCCTACAGGTACCTGGGCATACACCTGGATAGCAAGCTGGACTGGTCAGTCAACACAGATGCACTTTACAGGAAGGGCCAGAGCAGGCTCTTTTTCTTGAGGAGGCTCAGGTCCTTCGACGTCTGTGAGGAGATGTTGCTCATGTTTTATCAGTCAGTGGTGGCAAGCACCATTTGTTACGCTGCTGTCTGCTGGGAAGGCAGTGCGACAGAGAGGGACACCAGAAGGCTGGACAAGCTGATCTGCAAAGCTGGGTCAGTGCTGGGGAGGTGCCTGGACTCACTGGGGACCGTGGCGGAGAGGAGGATGCGGACCAAGCTGCTGGACATCATGAACAATGTCAACCACCCTCTCCACCACACCTTAGTGGAGCAGAGCAGCAGACGCAGTGGGCGGCTCATCGCGCTGCGTTCACGGACGGAGCACCACAGGAGGTCATTTGTCCGGCCATCAGACTTTTTAACAGCACAGTCAAGGGCAGGGGACTCTGACCTGGGCGCTGGTGTCGTCGACCACACTGCTGGACAGTAATGCAAATGAGTAAGAACTAATGATAGTACAACGTGTGAAATACATTCTTGTGGTAAGAATTTAGCACATCTCCTGATAACTGCCAGACCTCTTCTCACAACTGCAACTATTTTTTTCTATCTGCTTTGACCACTTCAATCTGCTGTCTAATAACGCCCCGAGGAGTTTGGTTTCCTCTACTTGTTCCACAGGCACTCCCTGTACTGACAGATTTAACTGTGGTTTAAGTTTAAGCCCAAAAGATGATCCAAATACTATACTTTTTGTTTTTGATAAATTAAGAACTAACTTATTACTCCATGCCCACATTGCAACAGACTGTAATTCCCTGTCTAATGCACAAGGCAGTTCCTTAATAGATGCTGCTGGTAAGTACAGTGTGTACCATCAGCATACCTAACTGCTCTTGCTTGATGTAGGACAAGAGGAGGATCATTGGTGAAGATAGAGAACAGTACTGGTCCCAAGCTTCCCTGTGGTACACCACACAACTTTTTCTTTTTCCTATTGATTTTAGTTACTTGATTTCTCAGTTTACGATAGGTTTCCCAGTCAGACTTACTCCCCGTCCTCTTTGCAGTACCCTTTGCCACATCTCTATCAACTATAAGGCTCCGGAGCTCATTATCAATCCATGGTGCCCTGACATTTCTCACAGTAAGTTTTTTAATAGTTGAATGTTTTTCCACTACAGGGCAAAATATGTTATCAAAAGCCTTAATGGCGTTATCAGAATAATCTTCCTTATATACATCTGACCAACATAAATTATTAACATCAAGACAAAAACATTCCTGAGAAAATATTTTATATGATCTTTTGTAAATTACTTTTGGTTTCCCTTCGGGTACTTTTGCTTTTCCAGTTATAGCTATTACATTGTGATCACTAAACCCAATGGCAACAGATATGCCCTTGGAGCACATATCCACTGCATTTGTAAAAATGTGGTCTATGCAAGTAGATGTCTTCTTACCACCCCTATTGATATAGATTCTTGTTGGTTGATTAATGACTTGTGTTAGTTGACATGCATTAGTTACATTTAGAACTTTGCTCTTTAGTGGACAGTCCTGTGACATCCAATTTATGTTCAGGTTGCCATTAAATAAATTTCATGTCCAGTACACAGTCAGTCATATCACACACTTCACTCAGATACAAGTTGTCCGCACATGGTGGTCTGTAACAGCACCCAGCTAGTAGTGGTTTGACATATGGTAAGTGAACCTGTAACCACAAGGCCTCAACGCTGGCAGGCATGAAGTCTTATCTTATCTTTGTTGGATTATGTCTCTGAGTGTATATGGCAACCCCTCCTCCATGCGAGTTTCTGTCAGTACAACCCTGTATATTCACTGCTTCATCTGAAAATGTATGATCAAGATGGGTTTCTGTCACTGCTAAAATATGGATATTATTTGTAGTCAAGACATCTGTTATTTCTTCAGTTTTCTTCCTGAGACTGCAAATATTAATGTGAGCTAGTTTCAGTCCTTTCCTAGGTAATTTTGTTAATACTGACATAATTTATCTATAAAATAACAAAACAAACTAAACGAGCGAAGAAAACAAAAAAACATAAAGGCGCTAAAGGAAATGATACACCCTACATTCCATTTGCTTAGTTTGGTTTTACATTAGAGTCATTTTTTAGTTGTGATGGTGGGCATGTGATTAATTTGTCATGCCTAAGAAATGCTCTCTCTCCCCTTTCTCTGGCAGCTCTCATTGCAGGCAGGAGTTCCTTCCTTTTTTGAGGCACAGCCTCTGGAAAGTCCTCATTTAGATAAATGTTTGTACCTTCAAGGTATTTTGCTCTCTCAAGCTCTGCTTCCTTGTCCTTGTACCTAAGAAATTTGACCACAATGGATCTGGGCCTGATGGAATTCCCATTCTTAGGTCTCCCTGTTCTATGCACTCTCTCCAAAGTGACTTTACTATGATCAAGTTTTAATCTTGAAACAGCTGTCTGCTTTTCTCCTCAGAGTCACTCCATTTCTCATTTGGAGACTCTGGAATGCCATCCACCACTATGTTATTCCGCCTGCTTTGTCCTTCTAAGTAGTTGGCTTTAGTGTCAAAGACCCGAAGAGATTCGGCCAATTTACACATGTCCTGTGAGCTTGAATGACATCCAGCTGAGAGTTTAGTATATTTAGACATGTGACTCTGTGATATCACCAAGCAAACTTTAGGAGAACTTCTGCTCTCTTCACTCTCTCTGACCGGCAAGTGCCCCCTTTAGGGGGCGGCTCTTTCTCGAGAGCCGCTGACCAGCTCAGACTCTTGGCTCCTGCCCCTGAACCATTGAAGGGGGCACTTGCTCCATGATTCTTGACACTTTCTCCCCTGAGCCGCTGACCAACTCTTGCTCCTAAGACTCTCTTGCTCTCATTCTCCTGGAGCTAAGTGATGTTAGTTTACTAATGCGTTCCACAGACAGAGTCTTGCATACAACTAAACATCCTCTGTACTAACCCAAACTCTCCTGCAACACATATGGCATACACATATACTCACTTACAAATTGGATTTCAATATAGCTACACCCAAAGAGACAACTCAACGTTCTTGCTTCTTTTCCCTTGACTTTGACCTGTCTCACTTTCTCTCGCGCGCGCACACACACGCACGCACGCACACACACACACACACACACACACACACACACACACACACACACACCGATGCTTGCATATAGTTAGTTAGAATTTGTGTGTTTGTTGCCTTGCTTTCATTATGAATAAATACATTTGGAATATACCTGCTGTCTGTTTAATATTGCACAAGAGTTAATGAATGGTCATCTTCTGCTATGTCAGGAACTCCTATACCTTTAACCTTTACTGTTATTGTGGCATCTTTGGTTGTAGTTATTAATTTAAATATTAATCAGAGTTCCTAATTAATAATTTAGTGTATTTTATGAGACTGATATCATTAACTCATAAGTGCTAAGTTGTAGGCGACTGCAAGGGTTAACACCCACACAGGGTTTAAACCTGAAAAACTGAAGAAGCTTCTTGGATGAGAGGCGAAACGTCTTCAAGAAATGCAAGCAAGTCCAGTTGCCTACGATATAGCACTTATGAGTACCATGACCTGGATGACTGAGAATCTTCACCGACAAACGGTATCATTAACAAACTACCATTTTACTAGGTTTCTGTCTCTCTGTCAGGCTACATCGAAGCTGTGGTTATCCCTGCAGGAGCCAGGAGGATCAAAGTTGTCGAGGACAAACCCTCACATAGCTTTCTGGGTAATGATGCATGTGTCTTAAGGTCCTTGAGAAAAATTACCTGAGGCATACTCGCAAACACAATACCATGCAACTATTGAGATAAATCGAATAACTGTTTTAGTAACTGGTTTCATGCTTCTTGAGCGCTAGGGTTTCTCATGTCATACATGATAATAAACATAAAAAAGTAATAAATGATATAAGAAAATAGCTTTGGATTTTTGGACTTTGGGTTGGATAGAATACCATTAATATGAGCCCATGGTCTCCTGTAAATGACACAGGCCATGTTTTACTGTCCTGTGACATTTTGTTGACAGTGCAGTTAATGGAGAAAGTAGCAGACAGATCAAACAATGGTTTCTTAATTGTTAGTGCAGCACTAATACTATGCCAACTGCTTTAATACAACTGCTGAAATGGTATTAACACATATATGTGTTTGTGTACGTATGCATATACTGCATGTTTGTGTGTTTGTTATTTGTATATATATAAACACAGGGTTTATTCATAAAAGTGTTACTTCTGTCCCCCTGCATCTTCCCCACAGCTCTGAAAGACTCCAGTAAGAGGTCCATCAACAGCGACTGGAAAATTGAGCTTCCAGGAGATTTTGAGCTGGCTGGGACCACAGTGCGATATGTTAGAAGAGGATTATGGGAGAAGATGTCTGCTAAGGGACCCACTAACACCCCCTTACACTTGATGGTAAACACATATGTTACTGTGTTCTGAGTTGTTAAACAGTATCACAACATACCCTGTATACAATGGCAGGATGGAAACATCCTGCTAATGCTTGTGTTAGGGTACAGTCACACATGAGCGAAATCAACACTACCGAATATTTGCCTTCCTTTACTTCCATTCAATGTGAGCAGAGGGGCAAATAAAAAAATTGCTTTCATTGGCAAAGCAAATTAGCATCTTTGCATCAGAGTCCTGTCGGGTACCCGTGGGTAATTATTTGCAAAAACAGCTGATTTGTGGGTGTTTTTTTAAAAAAAAAAAAAAAAACATTTTTTCCCGGGTTCGGATCTGGGTGGAAAAAATAACACGCGGGTCGGATCAAGGGTTTTAGATAAACACATCAGTCATTAGTTCGGTAAACTACAGATAACTAACTTGGTCATTATTTACACACTGAAGATAGCATCAGCTATTTCGCAACGGTCATTGGTTCAGCTGTTTACACGCGTTTCACCATCTAATAACACAATTTGTGATTGGACGACAGAATCAACATGGCTGCCACCGTCTAACAAGCGCCGCTTCCAAAACAGTAAATAATTATTTAGGTATTTGAGAAATAAGTGGATAAAACGTACAACTGTCACTTTATAATGTTTCTGAAGTGTTTCCCTGATGGATTACTTCTCTCCTCGATGGATTCTAAAAACAAGTGACGGCTCGTAACTGCTGAACATCGCTCTGGACAGAAAGTAAGTCTATTATTACACATGTAAAGTTCCTTTACATAGATTAAAAGTTTAAAAGCATTAAACGTAACAAACGAGTGCTTTTACACTCGTATGGGAGAAGAACACAGAGGGTTGATGATGGAGCTGAAGTCAGGTTTTTATTGTGAGAGCTGCTTCATTCAGGTCGTTGTTTACTTACTGGCACCTTAACTGTGGCGATATGCTGTTCAATATTCAGCCAATATGACCCAAAATGATTACTTTAAATCCGGGTTACGGGTCGGGCTGCGGGTCGTGTTTCAACGGGTCGGACCGAGTTGCGGTACTAATTGGCCTGATGCGCGGGTTTGCGGTTCGGGTGCGGGTTTGTACGTCGCCGGGTCGGGTTGGGGCGGATCTTGAAAACTGGACCCGTGCAGGACTCTGCTTTGCATTGAGTGGAGTTTAACTTTGGTGAAACTCTGCTATGTCAAGAACTCCTACACCTTTACGGCAGTAGCTCAGTCCATAGGGACTTGGCTTGGGAACCAGAGGGTCGCCTGTTAAAGTCCCTGTCCGGACCAAATATGGAGCGTGGACTGGTGGTGACTTTATGTCATCTCACAGCAAGAGGGTTCCTGGTTCGAACCCAGGGGGGAGCCCTTCTGTGTGGAGTTTGCATGTTCTCCCTGTGTCAGTGTGGGTTTTCTCTGGGTACTCCGGCTTCCTCCCACAGTCCAAAGACATGCAGGTTGGGGATAAGTTAATTGGTGACTCTAAATTGGCCGTTCATGTGAATGTGAGTGTGAATGGTTGTCTGTCTCTGTCTATGTGTTAGCCCTGCGATGTTCTGGCGACCTGTCCAGGGTGTACCCGCCCAATGTCAGCTGGGATAGGCTCTCCATGAGATTCTCAAGTTGTTAGTGTGTCATGATGTTGGGGAAAGCCCTATGAATAGAGACTCATGCCCAAGTGAGCCACTGGTGTGTCAAGGGAGCCTGGCTATGATCATCTGATGCCATCAATAACATCAATATTAAGTACTTCTTGATCTGACACTGATCTCCACTTAATCAGTTACCATAGTTGTCAAGATGCAATCAATGCATGCTGGTATGGCACTCCTGATTTATGATGATAATAATTAGTCTAATGAGAGGAAACAACCGTTTTGTAATTTTCTTATTATCTGGAGATTACAAAGCATCTTTGTTTTGTTAAGATAATGAAATGACACAACCTTTTGTTTACTTGAGATAACAAAATAATTCAAGAGGTTTATTATCATGTACACAGCAAACGTAAAGGCGGTTACAGGCAATGAAATTCTTACTTTGCAAGTTGCCCTGACACCACTTAAATATACACTGACTAAACTAGATGAATAAAAATGAATAATAAAAATACAGCAAATATTATGTACAGTCAGATTTGTTGTGCAAATATTGTTGTGCAAATAGTATTAAAATATTTTCACATTGTCCAATATGTATATATACAGAGAGATGGGTAATCACCGGTTTAGTAGTCTGATGGCTAGAAGCTTTTTTTTAGTCTTGTTGTCCTTGCTTTCACACTTCTGTAGCGTCTGCCAGATGGCAGGAGTGTGGACAGTGTGTGCTGTGGGTGGATGTGGTCCTTAATGATGTTGAGTACCCTTTTTGTGACCCGGGTGTCATAGATGTCCTGTAGTGGGGGGAGGGCTGATCCGCAGATGAATTGTTCCGTTAAAAATAATGAACTCTATTCTGAAACAACAAAGCTCTTTTTTGAGATAATGAAATAATGAACTTGTTATCTTGAGATAGCAAAGCCCCTTTTCTCAAGATAATGAACTAAAACAACCTTTTGTCTTCTCAAGATAACAAAATAATTATCTTATTATCTCAAGAGAACAAGCTTTGTTATCTTAAGATAATTAGATGATCATTTCATTCTAAAATATGCAGCCAGATTCAGTATGAAATTAAAGCTGCAAGCAGCATTGGGAGGGACCTCGGACCCTCGATGTCGGCCTCCACCTCACATAGACGGTGTGAATTAGCCTCTTCGTAGGAGTTGAAATGTCGATAAAACAAGCAATGTCAATAGAATGCAAGGTCATTTTTGGTGATGAACCCATGACTTCGGAGTAGAACTTTGATGGCTTCTGAAAACCAAACTACTGACGAGGACATCAATCAATCAATCAATATCACAAATCACAATTTGCCTCACAGGGCTTTACAGCATACAACATCCATACAACATTAAAATTACCGTCTGTCCTGCATCTCTCTCTGTCCTCAGGAACCAATGAGACAGAAGGGGAGGACAGAGAGAGATGCAGGACAGACGGTAATTTTAATAGCTTACAACAACATTAATGAAAGTAATAATATTATAATTATAATTCTGGCTATTGTGGTACAATATGTTGAAAGTATATATTAATATTTGATAGTACACATATGTGACAATAATCATATGTGTATAATAACAGTAGAAGTATGACACCCACAGACAGACAGACAGACACACACACACACACACACACACACACACACACACAGGCTTGTGTCTGTCAGAGTGAAGCCATTGTTATGCTAATTAATGACCATGTAGTTAGGTGACAGCCCAGGCACTTCAAGATGAGTTTGACTAATGACTAATGATAACAGAAGCAGCAGAAGGCATTTGACAACACAGCAGCAGCACAACCTCACACGTCACACTAGGCACCGCAGTGATAGAAGTTAACCTGCGAGACAGTGGAGCACAAAGGCTCTGGAGAAGAGGCCGAGTTAGTGACATGCAGTAACAGGACACGTGTGAAAGAGAGAGAGAATAATAACAGTAGAAGTATTTCTATTTTCTCCTGCTTCCCCAGTAGAGCAAACACACACTAAATAATAAGCAGTAAAATTACCTGTATTTTTCTCCTACTTTTCCATTATTGAGGTTTACAAGCCATTATTACAAAGAAAATAAAATAAATGCTATGTTAGTGTTGATATGGATGTGTGGGGGCTGTGGCTGTATAGCACCTAAAAATATATTGTGTGTGTGTGTGTGTGTGTAATTGTGTAGCTAAAAATTGCAAATTATGAGATGCAGATTGCTGCAGGTTACATTACTGTTTTCTCCATCTCTCTTTCTCTCTCTCTCTCTCTCATACATATACCCACAATGAATATTTGGTATGTATAATCTGAGCAGGAGTTGGTTAAAAGATTTAAGCAAAACAGAAAAAAATATTAATATTTAATATTTCTATGGTTGTTTTTCAACAAGGATGAAAAACATCTTGAATGGGACAGGTGTGATTTTTTTTATAAAGGGGGCCGCAGGGTAAAGTAAAGGCTTCTTATCAAGGTGGTGTGAGCTTATATTTTCAAACTTGTAGACATAAGCCATGTGACCTAATGAAACTTTGACATGTGTGATGATCAAACAACACATCCATATTCATTTGAAATCATGTGACCTAGTGGAAGCGTGATTGATGTGTACTGGCTGTTGTGAGGATAATAAGTAACAGCAGGCAGACACAAATATATAATGTCAGTGGAGAAACTGAGCAGGACTACATGTATTTGATCGTGTGGTGCTGCAGCACAGTTGTAGCTGCAGATTTGATTCCAGTTCTTAATCAGGCAAAAGAGTTTGACCTGGAAATCTTGTATTTACATGTTTTTGCTGTCAGGCATTTATTTAGGAAATTGTAGGAATGAGACACATGAGCTGGTCTGTTTGGTCAATGTTATCCTGTCAGGTGTGTGTGACCACACACACACACACACACACACACACACATCTTACTTTGAAAGGGCAATAGCGTACTTCCTGTTGGATTTAGGTCAGTGGTATGGGTGCATGATTTGTAGGTCTTGATGAGACAAACAAGCTAGTTTTGATTTGGTTTTTCAAAGGGATTCCTCCCGGTCGCAGTGGGCATTTTAGTGTGTGTAGGTGGCACAAAAATCGTCAGGAGGTTTTGTAAGACATCACCTGGAAGACGCCATAAAATCCAAACCATTCGAGTAATGACAAAGTTATACAGAATATCTGATTAGGACGAGTTGATCTGTCATGTGTGCGAATTTGAAGCCGATACGATAAACAGTGTAGGATTCAATTCAATTCAATTTTATTTATAAAGCCCAATATCACAAATCACAATTTGCCTCACAGGGCTTTACAGCATACGACATCCCTCTGTCCTTATGACCCTCGCAGCGGATAAGGAAAAACTCCCCAAAAAAACCCCTTTAACGGGGAAAAAAAACGGTAGAAACCTCAGCAAGAGCAACTGAGGAGGGATCCCTC